AATAGGGTGAATACATCTCATTACACTGATTTACTGGTAGTCTCGAAACCCTACTATAATACGAATATATCATATAGTTAACTCTGCCTCTTAAATATGTTATATGCCCTGACCTCTTTGAGCCTGGTATTAATTTACTTACTACTCTAAGCAAAATATAAATATTACTTCCTTACTCGAAGTCAGCTTTTGCCTCATTCAGTTGAATTAAGAATTTTGCTACTTCCACTCACCTTTATATCTTCCTGTTTCCATACTTTGTCTACCCATTTTATAACATACTCTAGCTCATCTTTTTTCAACCTATAAATTATCATACTCACAACCACGCACGCACACGCATCTGGACAGATGCTGACATAAAAGCTGTCACACTATCTTTATTTGCTCCAATTTCAGTTGTAATCAAGACCTTTTGCACGACTTGGAGAAAGATGAGAATAAGGTGCAACATACCAGCCACAGGGGGCCTTCTTTCTCGGCTGAGCCTGGAGGCGCCGAGAGGAAAAGGGACAAGTTCCGGGCCGACGGTATCAGTATTATCAGTAGTCACCCAGGCGTCTCGGTCAATTGGAACCTGGTTACTGCCGTCTATATAAGCCAGACATTTCCCACTGTCGGCCTGGTCGGTGCAGAGAAAGCTGTATTCGCCTGTGTTCTGCGAGTGTGCCGACTGGCGGAATTCTGCGAGCCGGTAAGTCGGCGATGAAACCAGCTTAGCTTTCGACCAAGAGAGTAAAGCGGGGTGACAGGTCTATACGGTAGACAAAGGGATGAGTACAAGGGAGACGGGAGTGTCAATTGGGAAATATGATATGCCAAATGGGAGAGTTATGGAGAAACGAGCAAGTTGATGAAAAGAGGTGAAGCTACAGATATTGGATGAGCAGGAGTGCCAGGCCAGATATATGAAGACTTAAAATAATGCGAAAACAAGGAAGCTTCTATGACGCATGCTAAGAACAAATATATTTCTGTCAAACTAGTGGAATACCAGAAGTATAACTGTCTTTGTGGTACAATATCTGAGCAGTGGCAATGTTATCAATTTTTAAAATGGTGTGAAATGAAGTGGAAATTGGAGAAAAAGATAATATTATATGTATGAGGTGTATTCACCCTATTTCCCTTAAGGTGATGAAGGATTGGTAATTGAATTTTCCCACAATGAAATGAGTAGAGCTGACGTTTCCATTGAATTTCACATAGCCTTGCTTTGCCAAACGTTGTTACCATCCAAAGTTGACTGCAGCTTCGACCTCGTCTAGGTTATAGCAAATATAACTTTGCTTTATCGACACTCTCGCCACCTATGATATGGGAAAATGCCTGGCCTATAAAGTATCATCTGCCCTGTGACCAAAGGGCAATCGTGGTAATATGGCAGAGTGGTTAGCGTGTCGAGCTTACGCGCTGCACTGTCACAATTCGAGTCCCGCTATGGATGTTGATAAGACCTGGACGAGGTCGAAACGGCAGTCCACTCTTAATGATTTGAGAAAGCTGAGCTATGTGGAATTCAATAGAAATGTCAGCTCTATTCGTATCGTTGTGGGAAAATTCAATAAAGAGTTCTTCATCGCTTTAAATAAAATAGCGCGTATACATATTATAGAACTGATTTAATGGTAACCACGGGACTCTGCTTATAGGCGAAGAATATTAGAGAAACAAACTATGCCGTATATTTTTTTTATCATGTGAAATACCGCAAACAAGATAAGCATTTTTACATTCCACAAGGTCCTCCTAGATATGATAGTAACTATATTCACACTAGGTCACATAATGCTATGGCGTGGCCTTATAATGCTATTGAATCTCGCTTAACCAACGAATACTTTTGCAAAAATCTGAGTAATTAAGAACTCCAAAATTTACTTTACGAACTGGCATCAGTCATCATGCTCGGGAGCAAAACGCTCAGCCGACGAACAGGTCAATGGTCTTTGCATTAAAGGAAAAGAAAGAATAAGATCACAGGTCAGTCGAGGTTACTGATAGATAAAATGCTCAAATTGATGAGTCGAGAGCCTATAATAAAAATGAAATTTCACTTGTGATTTTTTCCCTTAAAAGTCATCACTAAGACTGGTCAAAGGTTTTGACCCCTTCTCATCGTCTAATCAGCACCAGATACGGGATTTTGAGCCGGATTAGGTGCATCCAGAGACAAAGTAACCACTTTGCCATGCTCAATCACCAGACGATCCGTCATCAAAGGAAGTATTATGTGACTCTAGGTCTTATCAAAAGATATACGTTTTATTTTTATCTCTACTTATTCGGAATAAAGTAGTATAATTGAAAGAAAGAATTGCCATCTGTCCAGTGATCTGCTGGTACCCGTGGTTTTGTGACGGAGTTGTAAATTTGGTGTTTAAGGCACCAGAAGCTGTTTATAGAAAGTGGTATAACTAAAATGTAATCGAATCCTGAGTTCTTACGCTCAATTTATTGTTAAAAAAATCAAGTATCAGTCTTTGTCTCACATCAAGCTACCTGAAGTAACTTTCTTTCGTATGAAAGTACATGAAGAAGATATTCGTTGGTCGATCTCACCGGAAGAGAACGGCTGAATCCCGTTGTATTGCAGCCGTTTAACTTTTATACGACGTTCAGGTTGACGCAGTCAACGAGACCTTCCTCGTTTCCGGTGAAAACTGGCTGAGATTTCGTAGATCAGATGATGGACATCATCAGAGCTGGGTATCATTCCTGTGTAATTCTTACGTTAAGACTAGGGCAAGAAGGCTATCCGGATCTATCTTACTTCTTGTATAGAATCAATTAAGCCAAAATAAAATTAAAAACATAGATAGATATAGAGTGGTTTGGTTAATTATCTGTCATACTGGTCCCTCGAGTGTGTGCATATGCGCATGTGTGTGTATGTTAGTGTCTATACGCAATACCGGTCCTACATAAGAGTTATCATAAGGCTAATGTCAGGCTCTGATCATCAAAGCTAAATGACCCAAAAAGAAGCTCTGACCGAGACTACGTAAGTCCGTAAACAAATATGGTTGAGATATTGAGATATGAGCTTGTGAGAATTTAAGTCAAGTTACGAAACCACTTGTCATAACCTTTCAGTCTAGGGTCATTAACATTTAACCCCCCAAGTAAAGACAAGACTGAGGTTGCGTAATCTGACATGTCTAGTTTGGTTGATGAGCTTACTCTAACATGTTGGGGGAATGTGAGAGAAGTTAGAACCATCACCGACAAATTAAGTCGTCTTCTTTTTGACGGCGGCTCAACACCCTCTCTCTCTTTCAATCTATCAATCAAGCATTAGTAATTCCTACTTAACTTTCTACCACCGTTCCTCACATTCAACATATTTTATAGGCTATCATTTTGAGGCCATTCTATTTCATGTGCAGTTTCTACCATGTGTTCGGCCACTTCTGATTGTTAGAGCCAGCTACCTTTGTAAGCATTTTTGTGTTCGCCCAATCTTTGTAGAATATGTCGGCATGTCTCACCAACATAGCATCGACCACATGAACAATCAATCTAGCAGCAGCCGGATCTCGATACTGGATCATATTTCTCCCTAAAAGATGGCATAACAGAAGAAAGTGTGAGAGTTTCATTGAACACTGTTTTAATTCACCACTTCTTGACTAATTCGCCTATCCTTTTTGAGAGAAGGCATGATGGCAAGATTAGGACATGGGAAAAGGTCTTATTCTGTGTCTATTTGTCTAAATAGTCTTCGTTTGAAAGTGTACTCCTCAGTAGAGAGATATTATTCTCAATAAGGCCCAAAGGATAATTATTTTCCAGGAAGGTATTTATCAGCCGTTGCAACTCTTTAGTCAAATGTTTGCTATCCGCTTGCCTCATACTTCTAAGAATCATTGACTACAAAATTCCAATCTTAGTTTTGTTGCTATTGTGGGAACGAGAATTAAGCAAAGAGCCAACATATGTTGGCTTCCTATTAACATCTCTTCCTAACCTACCCTGTTCTCTAATTATGAGATCATCCAGAAAAGGTTAGGACTTATTCTCTTCCAGTTTCGTCGTGAACCTAATGTTCCTTTTACGCTGGTTGAGTGAAAGTATGAAACTATCTAAACTGTCCTCACCATGAGGCCAGATGAAAAAATAGTTATCCATGTATCTAACCCACAATTTGGATGTTTGTATTGCCTTTGCAGGAAGTGTTCCTCCAGTCTTGCCACATAATTGTTCGCTAAGATGGGATACAGGCATGATCCCATCGTTAATCCTTGCGCTTGTTCATATAACTTCCCATAAATGGTAAAATATGTGGTACTTATGGATAAGTTAATAAGTGTAATAATAGAATTTGCATTCAGCCTTATTCCTCGTGGTATCTCTGGATG